GAGGTCAAAAGGTGATGATGATATATATACATATATATATTATATATATAATATTAACTGCCACCGAACGGTCAGGGAAATTATCTCATCCTTACTCTTATGGCATCCTTCTCGAAGTGTCTTCTCACAAAAATTGACTTTTCCAGACACTTGGGACATAGTGTTGGACATTGGGGATCTGCGGACAACAATGCAGAACTGAACAGTGTGGGAAGGGATTGTCAATGGAGTTCTGACCAACTATAGGGAGATCGAAGGATGATGATGATGATGATGATGATGAAGAATTCAAATTTTTAAAATAACTGAAAAAAAATTAGTGATTTTAAAAGTTTTAAATTCATATTGTGTTTAAAGTAACACAAAAACTTTGTGAATTTAAAATGTTTTGTTTTAAATTCAGCTTAAAATATCTCCCAAACTTGAGGAAATCAATTTTATTTCTTCAAAACACCAAAGAATCAGAGTTTTCAAGTTGAAGATTTCATGACATAAGGTTTTGAAGTTTTGAAGAGTTTGTTATTTGAAGAACTCGATTTTAGTTCCTGAATTGGAATTTTCATTGAATTGGAGTTTCGGCCCAAATTGGTCTTTTGACCAGAATTCGACCTACAGCTTGAATCAGAGTTAAAGTGAGATTTTGAAGTTCTATTTAGTGAATTGAGGAATTCGGAGTTATTTCTTCAAAATTATCATTTCTGTTTTTTAAGCTGGACCAGAGGGTTTCTAGTTTTTAGCCCTCCACAGGAGCTAGTGGTTTTTAAGCTAATTTGAGATAAAGATTTTATAAATTTCAGTTAATGGTAACACAAAATGTTCAGTCAAGGAATGCCAAATATTTCTTCTGTGGAAATGGTTAATCTCATCATTGACATCACAATTGGCATGCAGACTGTCACATATACCACAATACTTAGTCCTGTTGGGGGAATTCTAAAATGTACAATTTTTTCTTCCAGGCAGGACTGGTGCAAGAATCCTATCCCCCTCCTTGAATCTATGATACAGGAACCCCAACTCTACTACATCTCAATTTTCGTAAGATAATATTCATATGAAATACAACTTTTATTGTAACCTAAATTACATACTGTAAATAAATCATATGCAATATAGGTGAATGATTCAACTTCATAAACTGAAAATAAATACAATGTATCTAAATATAAATTAGACACATGTCATAATATAGATTATTCCATCTTAAATAAATGAACAATGTCTTGCAGCAATTTGAAATTTTCTTGTTAAAAAATTGAATAATTTTAATTTTTAACACATTATGGATAAAAAAAAAATAGTGAATTTTATATAGTGTTTTTTTTTTCAAGACTTAACACGAGTGAAACAAATTCACAGATCTGGTCGAAAAAAAAAAAGGCCCCTGAATGATGTCAAAATCTGCAAAATTTGTTCATCCTTTATTAATTAATATTCAGTTGTGCTTAGTTTAATTTGTAACATATATAAATGTAAGTAGAAAAAATGTTGATAAGATACTGTGGGTCACATAGCACTGCCCTCTCCCAACTTTAGATCCCACCACTTGGTTGGGAGAGATTTGGGGGTAGTACACACTTCTAGGTAAAATCCAAACCCCCATCTAGCTTGACATGAAAGACATGCATTTTTTGAATTTTTCTTTATTGCACTACAAAGAAACCATTTTTCTATTGGCATAATTCCTTCTTGCATAAAAACTTCTTTTTTGGCTGTTGCATCTTTGTTTCTACTGCCCTTCAGAAATGCCAATGTATGACATATCTGGTTCACTGTCAGTGTTTAAAGTTGCCTGGTAGAGAACATTAGTAGTTAAGCATTTTTCTACAAAGGGACAGCTCTTTGCCTTCCATTACAAGAGGGAGTTCAAATTTTTTTGTACCAAATATAAGAGTCAACTGGTATAGTCATACTGGTGGGAAATTTTTAACTTTAAATGTAAGAAGGTGAGTTTAATAATCTGGAACAAAATATTTGTGATGTGGAGAAAATTATTTGAAAAATAATATGCGTGATTTACAAAATAAACACCATGTTGAGGGAAGAATTTAATCATGCTGGCATTTGAATTTGGCAGAGAAGAGTATCAAATGCACAGCTTGCCTTTACATTATGCTTCTTTATTAGTCGATTTATGAAGTCTGTGCAACAATAGCCCAGTTTAATTGGGCTCTTATTGAAAATTTCATTGAGCGTTTTAG